CCCCAATGCCATTCCCTCCATCACTGCCACCTCAGGCTGGGGGGTGGGAGCAGCATGACCCAGCACCCTGTGGTGCTGCTGCTCTGTCTCTGGGCCCATCCACAACCCAATGGGCCCCCCGCCCTGCTGCTCTACCCTGTGCCACAACCGGCTCCCAGGAACAGGGGTGGGAGGGAAGCTTGCACTCAGTGGCAGCAACTGACATGCAGTGCCCTGCACTGCTGCCGCTCCGCATCTGCTTGCAGGAAACATCCCTCCCCATCTGCCAGCTGTTTTTAGGGCCAGGTGGTGGCAATGTGCTGGCACCAGAAACTCCCCCTTCCCCTTCCTGCTCCCCTCCTTCCCCACTGCCTCCCCCTCCCTGCTGGCTGTTTTTGGGGGGCAGCTGGGAGGGCAAGGCCAGCACCGCTGGCCTCACCCCGCCCCATGTCCATTTCCTCTGTCACCACTCCACCGCCACTGCCTCTTGTCCCGAACGCTCTTGGAGTGTTTCGATTGTTTTTTTTCAGACAACCAATTAGAGTGCAAATAAAGCATTACAGACAGACTAAGGCTTTTACAGTATTAGAATTGGCTGTATTGGAAATCGGACCGATGCAGCTGATAATTTGGCCAATAAATGCCTGTGCATGTGCACAGCACACAGGCAGCTTGGAGCACAGCCCAGCAGCTCAGACAGCTGTGTGCGGCTCGTAAGTCTGTTGTGGTGAAGGAAGGGGGATGGAAGGGGTGTTGGGGGCACTGATCAACGCTCCCCGTGGTGACGGAGGGAGTGGGGCAGAGGCAGGGGCAAGCAATGCCCAGCCGAGGCAGGGCGGGGGATGGAGCTATGGCTCATCTGGGGGTGTGGAGGGAGAGCATGTGCCCTGTAGATCTTCGCAGGTGAAGCAGTGGGCTGTAACTGGGGCTGTGCCAGGCTCTTTTCAGCAGGGGCTGGGCAGCAGCAGTGCTGGGAAGGGGGCTATGGTGGAGGGCTGTAGCCACCCCAAATTTTGCCACAGTCCCCCGAAACACCCCTCCCAGCACCGCTGCTGCCTGCCTGGCGCAGCCCTGGCTCAACCCCTGCCTCCACCCAGGTACTGGGAAGAGCTGGGGCTGCATCGGGCAGGAGGCAGCAGCACTGCTAGGGGGCGCTATGGTAAAAAAATATAGGGTGGCTGCAGCCCCCCTCCATAGCCCCCTCCCAGTTCTGCTGCTGCCCACCCTAAGCACAGCCCCCTCCAAGAAGAGCCTGGCACAGCCCCAGCCCGCAGCTGCAGCCTGCCCACAATACCCTGCGCAGATCTGGAGGCACGTCCCCTCTCCCCATGCCCTCCTGTGGTGCATGCAACAGTGGGAGCCGCCCCCCCGCCCATGCCCCTGGATGAGCTGTGGCTCTGTTCCATGCCCCACCCTGCTGGGCAGCATCTCCCCTGCCCCTACTCCCTCCCTCACCACAGGGGGCCTTGATCTGACCCCCTGCCTCATGCCCCTTTCCTCCCCTCTCCTTCCACCACAACAGATTTACCAGCTGGGTGCAGCTTTATCAGAAATTGGATCAGTATCAGTCGATATACCTCCTTAAAAATCGGCTAATGGTATCAGCCCCCAAAATCTATTGGTGTATGTGAAATACACTGACTAAATTAATTGTCCTCTGGATTATTCACAAGACTTAAAATGAAGAGAAGAGACATAGGGAGAAAATTAAAGCATGTAAAAAAATTAATTGAACCAATTAGCTAAATATTCTGTGCATTTCCTCCCACTTCAAAAACACACATTAATTGCCAAAAACCTAATTTAGAGAATGCTATTAAACATGTGACTTACGGGGTATCAGCAAAACAGTGTAAGGTGTCTTAAGGAAAAACAAGCAAACAGAAAAACAAATTTCTCATGTTGGGTAGGAAACTTTCTTATAATAGCACCCTCATCTTTTGCAGAATACAACTTTTGTTTAAGAGTTCTTAGTCCTTGTAATTTAAAAAAGCTGTCCAAATATGAATTAAATACAATACTTAACCTATGCAATCTCTCCAAGCTTGCAGACAACAGAAATGTATGCCACCCATCTTTAAAAGCAGCAATCCCAGTCAAGCTCAATTTCTTATCACATAAAATCTAATAAAATAAAAAAAAAAGTATATAGAGCATGTAGGCCTTTGCCAATTATCTCCTTTTCTGCAGAGCTTTGAATAACTTGAAATTATTTCCTTCCTTTCACTCCAGAACTGGTAGTGCAGAAACACTGCTGTCTAGAATAATGATTTTCAGCCAGGGTCCCGTGGCTCAGGGTCTCCCTCTCTGGTCTACAAGGTGAAAATGTACCCTGATTTTTCCCTCCCTGGCAAAGCCACTGCCTCCATTCCCACTACTATTCCCTCTGCAAGGAAGTAAGAACTGTGATAAATTAGTTTTGAAGTGGAGCACTGCTTAATTCATAACAGTCATGGAGGGGTGCCTCGAGTCTAAAAAGGCTGAAAACTAATCGTCTAGAGACTTGCTTATACCAAATGATTCATAAATAGTTGTTCACTTTCAGCACAAAAAAGGTATCAGAACCAAAACATACGCTCTCTCCCTCTCCCCATCACACACAACCCCCCAGACTTTGTGGGGGATGGGAGGGATACCGTTTCTTTTTACAACTAGCAAATTGCCAGCTGCCACTGGAAACCTCCCCCCAACCCTCTTCCCTGCCACCTACCCCCCCACAGACTGTTGTTGGCCAGGATACTGCGGCAGCTCCCTCGCTCCCTGTCCGTAACACTCCAGACCCTCCCAGCCAATTGATGCGTGCCCTCTCAGTGCACGCGCAGTTGTCCTGGAGTGTGTGACAGACAGACGCTTTTATTATATTAGAGTTGTTCAAATGTTCTCCCTACTTCAAATATAGCAAATGTCTAGATGGATGTGAAAGGGGAAGAAAGGAATGGAACATATGCTGTAGATTTGCAAAGGCTTTTTTCAGTAAGAGACTACAGTAGGCAGGTCCGAAACCAAACTAAGTATTTGTCAGTTTTGTGAGCCCATCCAAGAGTAAGCTAGCGATTTTAGAAATGTTTCTCCAAATGACTTGTTTGAAGTCAGAGGCACCACAATAACCCTCACCTGCTCTATTACGTCAGCATCTCAAACAGAAAACTGGTATCAAAACCAAGAAACAGTATTTGAAATACCTACCATCCTAGGAGGGACCCGTCAATACCAACTCTTAAGGAATCTTCTAGAACAACATCTTCTGTAACTTCTGAGAAAGACAGATCCAGAGTCATATACCACAGATCATTCATTAAAATTTCCATTTCCCCTTAAGACAACTGAGTTCTGGACTTCCTGTATATGGGCTTGGGAGGAGTCACATTTGTTTAATCTTTGTTTTAATGGAAACATACTGATCCATCTCCATGTTTCTAACATCTGTTGATTTAGGAGAAAGTTATGGCCAGATCCAAGAAGCCTTAAGATGCACTTCAAAAGCCCAGGCCTAAGAGCACAGTCCACAAAACCTCTCCACACCTACTGAGGTGCCCAAAGTCTACTACTACGCAATGATAGAAGTGCCAGTCTAGTACCCAACATAAGCCTACAGCCACCGGGGATACCCAATTTGTGAATCCAGCAGACAGGCCGAGCGTGCCTCTCACACGCTGTCAGGATTGCATTCAGCACATAGCACAGCAGCTGGAGCCACTTCCAGATGTGATCACCTTTTTTATACAGTAGCCTGTGGTTGACATCCTCACCCAGGGAGTAGCCATACCAGGCAGCCAAAATAGCCTCCTGGGGCCAGTGGGGCTTGTTTGCCAACAAAATCCATGGCATCAAGAAGCTGGATAGCTCCGTTTTTAAAGAAACAGAGCAAAAAAGTGCCCTACGCCTAAAGGACATGGACATACAAGGCAACCTGGACCAGGATAAAGATGCGCAGGACTTTCCAACCCCCACAGCTGTTGTATAACTGCACTGCATAAAATCACTGGGCAGCTGAGACAGACTTTGAGACGGTGAAATAAGAACTGGAGCTGTGCCTGCCTGGGAGGGGTGCATGGGAAAGCTAAGACCACAGACTCAACTAGCAGGGCACAGCTGAGGCACACTGGCTCCATAGTAACCGCTGTGAGTCCCTGGTAAAAAGAGGAGTGCATCTGTTGAAGCTCTCTCTTCCCTGAAGGAGAGAGCTAGATGCTCATGGGCTCTGCCTTGCTGCAGAGTAGGAGGGGGGCTACCAGGAAGCAGCTAACTCCCACCTGGACACACCTGTACCATACTGTGGGGCACCAGGCACCTGCCACCAGCCTGGGGCAGGCTAAAACCAGAGGAGAGGTTTACTCTGGGACAAAGCAGTTTACCCTGGGATCCCGGGGGCTCAGGCTGAAGACAGCGGAGAGGTCCCAGAGGGGGCTTGACTCATCAGGGCAATCCCTGACACGAAGCCTGCGTGCCAACTAGCACGGATGAGCATGGCTTGTCCCAGGCAGGCCCTGACAGCGGGCCCAGGGCCAGGTGCGCCCGCCTGCTCACCCACCCGCGAGATCCCAGGGGGAGTGTCGTTGTCCCGGAGCGCTCAGCCCGGCGGCCCCGCAGCGAGCACAGCCCAGTGCCCCGGACAGTCCGAGCTTCGCTAGGAGGCAGGCAATGGGCTCCGAGGCCAGGCCCGGGCTCGGGCCCCCGCCCGGCCGGCACTCACTGAAGCAGGCGAGGACGCGGAGGCGCCGCTCCTCCTGCGCGCACAGGTGCAGCGAGTCGCTCAGCACGGCG